CCGCCCCCTCCCTCCTCCCTCCCCCGCCTCCCGCTCCCCTGAGCCCAGCCGGACTCCGCTCCGCCCGCGCCCCACTCGACTCCGGAGGCTCCCGCAGCCCCGGCGTCCTCCCCGCTGTCCCCTCCCACGGGGGCCATGGGGGCGCCCCCGGGCTACCGGCCCTCGGCTTGGGTGCATCTTCTCCACCAGCTGCCTCGCGCCGACTTCCAGCTCCGCCCGGTGCCTAGCGGTTTCGCGCCCCAAGAGCAGGAATACCAGCAGGTGGGACCAGGCACCGGGTCCAGGGGGCCGGGGCCGGCGGCCAGAGCTTTTAGGTCCCGAGCGAGGAGGGGGCTGGGTCGAAGATTCCTGTGCTGTCGGATCCTGAGGGGGCCGGGCCCGGACTTTGGGGTATCTGAGGGAGGAGAAGCGGAGGGCACCCATACTTGAAGGTTCCGCTGGGACCGGCGCTAGGGGACTAGGCCCCCAGCTCTTTAAATGAGAGCTGGGGGCCTGAACCCCTGAGTTTCTGAAGAGGAGGAGTCTAGAGTCCCCTGGATTCCCGGGTCTCTGAGACCTGCCTGGGAAGGCGGCCTCCAGGGTCATCAGGAGGGTAGGTCCACTCCGTTTCCTAAAAGATGACCCCGCCCCCATAGGATCAGGGCAGGTAAATATGTCCCAGTTAAAGTGGGACCCAGGAGAGAGTGGACCTGATAATGGTGGAGAGGAAAAAGGCTGGAGGGTGCCCCGGTTCTGGGTTGGGATTGAGGGCATGAAATGGGGAAGGGGGTTTTAGGGACAAGGTTGGGAAAATGAGGTGATGTTGGAAGAGGAAGCTTCCTGCCTGTCCCAGGACAGAAGGGGTGGTCAGGGCACTGCAGGAGTGGGGAGCAAAGATGAGGTTCGATTTGGGGAGCCACTGTGGATAACAGACAGGGGTCCTGGAGGGTTGGGCCAGTGCGGGAACCTTACAGAAGCAAGGGTTCCTGGGGAAGGAGGCCTAGCTTGGGGCAGCTCCAATGGGGCAAAAGAACTGTCCCCTGACCCAGTTTAATTCAAGTCCTTGATTTTGAAATTAATGAGGAGAAGGAATTGGCTGAGCTGGGGGAGTGGGGGGAGCTGGGAGTCCAGTGAGACCCCTGGATGGGTTTTGGGCCCCGCCTAAAGGGTCTGAACCCCTCCGGTCTGTCCTGGGTTGCTCCTGGGAAAAGGAGCTGCAAATTGGAGAGCTTAGATGGAGTGGAGGTGGTCCCAGAAAAGCGGGGAGGGGGATATGAGCTGTATTCTGAGCTATTTGGGTCATGGCTGGCACAGCCCTGAGCAGCTCCTCCCTGCCTACTCCACTCCACCCCCTCTCCCCACCAAACAGGACTGCCATCCCCTCTCCCACAGCCTCCGGTTACACAATCACAACCTCCAGCGCTGTCCCACTGATTCCTGGCCATGGCCGAGACTCACGCTGGTTCACGGCCACACATGGGGGTCCCATGGTCCCAGTCACTGCCAGAGACACTCAGAGAGATTCACTATTCCCTGCCCCATCATCGGCAGTCGGGGTCAGAGCACAGGGGACACACAGTCACACACCCCGTTAGGATATTCCCCTCCAAGGAGGTGATCACTGTGGGCACAGCTGGAGACAGAGACAAGAACGCTGGGACACAGACCTGCAGGGATGCATACACATGGTCACATATGCACACTCACACATGCACACATATACTGACTCACACTCAACACACATACACACTCACACATGCACAGACATTTTCACATATGCACATATATTGACTCCACCACTCATTCACACACACACTCACATACGCACATACAACTCATATACACACATCACATGTGCATATGCTTACCCACACTCACACACACTCACATGCACCACCACCACCAGACACCACTCATGGACTCAAGGAACTGTGTCCAGAACACACAGATGCCAACAGATGTACTGTCTCACCTGCAGATACAGGTGCACTCATGATACACATACACGTGCACACATACACACTCAGGTGTACGCTCATCTCATAGTAGACAAACTCAGTCAAAGATAAAACATCCAGTCTCAGAGCCAGAAACACAAACATTGCACACACTTGTCACGCACACACATACACACACCGCTGCAAGGACAAAAGTGAAACAGCCTTTGTGTTCTGATCCTGATGTTGCTCCTACGTGCTGTGTGGCTCAAGGCAAACCCCTGCC